CCCCCCCCCCCCCACTTTCTCCGCCCCCACCCCGTACCTTATGATGATGATGATCATTATCCCGATCCTCCGCATATCAAAGATTGTAGGCACACTCCATGGACCAAGCCCAACCACTTCTTTCTAACAACTGCCATCCTCGTGACCTCTGTTAAACTTGTCCATTTTTGTATGTTGGTTTTCCATCCAAACTTTAGCCAGCCACGTTTTCTCTTTATTGGGACATGTAAACAACTCTAATTTTCTCTGTCCCTCAATTAAGATACGTAGCAGTTACTTTTTATAAGCACCTCAATTAGGAATCGTTCATGCATAAAAAGGAAAAAGGATATAGAATAGATATAAGTAAAGTAACAGAGTGTAGAGGGTAAACGTTGTCTGGATAGGGCATACATGTAGAACACATTGGAGTATTGGGGGGGGGGGGGGGCGTGCGCTCAGGCCCTTCTGGCTGTTACTAAATTCATCCCAGAAGCGAATCGAATATTTGATTTGGTAGCCTCAATTATAATTTACTATTGTTAATATTATAAATTGATTTAATACAGATTAATCAAAATCACCACCTTTGAAATCTCTGGTTTGAGCATCACTTCCACTTGCATATAAGAGAAAAAAGCCGTTTTTATCTTGTGTTGGGTTCTTTACATATTTTTTCGTTATTTTTAAAAAGCAATGTTCCTTTTGTACTGACACATTTATAGATATTTTATCAATATGTGTAATTTATTAATTATATAATCATAAAAACAACATATTCCAGGCGTGAATGACGTAATCCCTCCCAGATCATAAAAGTCGTAAAATAGTGATGACTGGTGAAGTAGGTCAATTGCCTGTATAATTCTCCCATACGATTATTGATTTTTTCTAACGTGGAACATTTTAGGGGGAGGATGAAAAGAGAGAGAGGGGTCAAATTACCAAAAATAATTGGCATGCCTAGAATAACTGAAAGCAGAATATACTGCAAAATCAAGAAAAGTTAAAAACAAAATCCATTCATTCAATTTCAGCGAGTACAAGTTTACAGATATTATGAGATCTTTGTATTTAATCTGCCTCTCCCTAAAATGGCGCTGACCGCGTTAACTCTTCCGCTCCCGGGAAACGCAGAGAATCCAGCGCCAAGTGGCAGCATGAGATCCGACAACGATACGTGGATATAGTAGCCAGGGTGGGTTGGGAGGGGGTTAACCCCCCCCCCCCCCCCCCCCCCCCCCCCCCCCCCCCCCACCCCCCCCCCCCC